ACGCTCACTGGGGGTGTACAGACTCCGGGAGGGGCCCCTTACGGCCCAAGCGCAATATCAAGCTATCTCGTGGCATCATAAACAGGCTCTCGGCCTCATATCAATCACAAGCTACCTCGTGGCGTACCATCTCAGGCCCTTGGCCTCATTATCATAATCAGTATATCACTGCTGCGGCGTGCAACCCGACCCAAAAGTATCCTCACAACATAGGCCATCGGCCTTACTCAGTCAAAATCTCATAAGCCCCTCGGGGCACAGTAAAATATGAAGCTCGGCTCAAATATCTTTGAAAATATCATTTAATATTTTTAAAATAAAATAATATAGCTGAGTTCTTAAAATAGTGACAATATAGCATGAGCACCAGTATGAAATCAAACAGTGAGGAAAATATCATTTAAAATCCCCTAAGGGTTCAAACAGTTGGCACGAAGCCCACATATAGCATTTAGCCCAAAAATATAATATATCAAACAATAAATTGTCAAATACGCAGTAAAATAATCATTCGGGATGGACTAAGTCAAAATTCCCAACGGTGCACGACCCTACGCTCGTCATCTAGCGTGTGTCTCACCTCAACATAGCCGAACACTGTGAAATTTCGGGGTTTCATACCCTCAGGATAGCATTTAAAATCATTACTCACCTCAATCCGGCCCGAAGTTTAGCTCGCAATTCCTTTGCCCTTCGAATCAATCTCCGGATGCTCCGATCTATCAAAATCAGAACGTAACCCACTCGAAAATAATCGAAAAACATCACAAAATCTGAAATTACCAAAACCCGACCCCTGGTCCCACGTCTCGAAATTCGATAAAATTCACAGCATTGGATTCCTTATCTCCCCACGAGTTCATACATATAAAAAGTTCCAAAATCCGACCACAAATGGTCTTCCAAAACCTCAATCAAAGGCCTAGGTTTCTAAGCCCTAGTTTCTCAACTTTACCTTTAGTTATAGCTCTAATCCATGCATTAACGCCATAAAAATGAGTTTTCATAATCCAAAACCTTACCTCAATGATGTCTCCTTGATTTCTCTCTTCAAAATAGCCCAAAGCTCCAAAATTCGTGTTAAAAAGTGAGAAAACCTTCTGAAAATCACGAAGGAACTAATTTATATTTCTATCCAGACATTTCCGCATCTGCGGTCCAATTACCGCTTCTACGGTACCGCATTTGCGGCCAATGAACCGCTTATGCGGTTCTTCACTTAAACCCGCTTCTCCGCATCTGTGACGCTCCAACCGCATCTGCGCCATCGCAGGTGCGGTCATATATCCGCTTCTGCGGTCCCAGCTCAATCGCACCTCTAGCTGCTTCTGCGGCCCATCTTTCGCATATATGGCGCCGCACCTGCGGTCCCCAATCCGCAGGTGCGGAAATACCAGAAGCAGCAAAATCTGCAGCTGGAACAATTCCTCAAACTCCCCGTCAACCATCCGAAATCACCCCGAGGCCCCCGGGACCTCAACCAAAAGCACAAACATATTCCATAACCTTATTCAAACTTGTACCAATCTTCAAAACACCTCAAACAACATCAAAACCACCAAAACTCATCGAATTCAAGCCTAAGGTTCTAAATTCTTCCGCATTCCGCTTTTGATCAAAAAATATACCAAACCACGTCCGCATGACCTGAAATTTTACGCACACATCACAAATGACATAACGAAGCTACTGAAACTTCCGAAATTCCATTCCGACCCCTACATCAAAATCTCACATATCAACCGGAAAATGCCAAAAACTCAATTTCGCCAATTCAAGCCTAAATCTACTCCGGACCTCCAAAACACATTCCGATCCCACTCCTAAGTCCCAAATCATCTCCCGAAGCTATCCGAACCATCGGAACTCACATCCGAGCTCTCTAACACATAAGTCAATATCCGGTTGACTTTTCCAACTTAAGCCTTCTTAAAAGAGACTAAGTGTCTCAAACCTTCTCAAAACCTTTCCGAACCCGAGCCAACCAACCCGGGGCGGTAACTCATGAAGCGGATAATTAAAGTAAATAGAAGCAAAAATGGGAAAAACGGAGCGGTAACTCATGAGACGACCGGCCGGGTCGTCACAAAATAGCACGCTCTTAAACTATACGTCTCTTGGTCTCGGACATAGAGATGACGATGGATGATGATTATGAACATACAATGCACCTGAAATCTTATATCATTAATATTTAATATCAGTACCTAATTATCCTAGCCAATTAGTTGGAGCTGAGTGGTGGTAGCACCCATCTTTATTAGTAGAGGTCTCGAGTTTGAGCCCTAAGAATTTTAACAATCCTAATAGGGAGTGCTTTTTCTATTAATGGGTTATACGCGACGCGACTCTAGATTTGTCCATCCTCAAAATGATTACCGGAAACTGAATGAGAAACAAATAAGTACAATAATATCCATAGGTTATGGATTTGAGATGAATTATATTGTAGTGAGTCTGTTTGTTAATTTATTAACTTGTTAAAAATAAACGATGCTAGAGTTATATTATGTAATTGTGAATTATTTCTATCATTTTCTATTAAAATTTAGTTAAACAACGCTAATTAAGTGGCCAAAATTGCACAACCCTGTGTACAAAAGTTTATTAGTCCAATAAGTAGCTGCTCTCTGGAGATGTCTTGAGGCAAAGGGCAATGCCGGTGGCCTACATAAGAGCAATCAAGGACATGTATGATGGAGCTAAGACTAAGGTTAGGACTGTGGGAGGCGACTCGGAGCATTTCATGGTTGTTATGGGATTACACCAAGGCTCTGCGCTTAGCCCATTCTTATTTGCCTTGGTGATGGATGCATTGACACACCATATTCAAGGGGAGGTGCCATGGTGTATGTTATTTGCTGATGACACAGTTCTAATTGATGAGACGAGGGTCAGTGTTAACGAGAGATTGGAGGTTTGGAGACAGACCCTCGAGTCTAAGGGTTTCAAATTGAGAAGGTCTAAGACAGAGTACCTGGAGTGCAAGTTTAGTGCTGAGTCGAGGGAAGTAGGCAAGGACGTGAGGCTTGGATCACAGGTCATCCCTTAAGAGAGATAGCTTCAAGTATCTTGGGTCGATGATTCAGGGGGACGGAGATATCGACGAGGACGTCACTCACCGTATAGGGGCGGGCTGGATGAAATGGAGGCTTGCATTTGGAGTCTTGTGTGACAAGAAAGTGACACCGATACTCAAAGATAAGTTTTATAGAGCTGTGGTTAGACCGACCATGTTGTATGGGGCAGAGTGTTGGCCGGTTAAGAACTCCCATATCCAGAGGCTGAAGGTAGCAGAGATGAGGATGCTTAGGTGGATGTGCAGGCACACTAGGATAAACAAGATTAGGAATGATGATATTCAGAAGAATGTGGGCGTGGCCCCTGTGGATGACAAGATGTGGGAAGCGAGGCTCCGATAGTTCGGGCACGTGCGGAGGAGAAGCCTTGATGCTCCGGTGAGGAGTTGTGAGCGGTTGGCTGTGGTGGGTACGATAAGTGGTAGAGGGAGGCCTAAGAAGTATTGAGGAGAGGTGATCAGGCAGGACATGGTACGACTGTAGATTTTCGAGGACATGGCCCTTGATAGGAAGGTCTGGAGGTCAAGCATTAGGGTCGTAGGTTAGGGGGTAGTAGAGCTTTCCTTACTTCATACCGGGGGTGAGGCGGGTTGGATTAGGGTTGATCTTAGATGGCTTGCAGTTTATGTTGAATCCACACTATTCTTGCTGTTTATCTTAGCCCCGGGCCTTAGTTACTGGTTACTGTTATTGCATGTCATTTATCTTTTGGTTGTTATGCTTCTGTTAATAGTACGATTTCTACTGGAGTTACTAGTAAATTATCTTTTCTTGTCTTTTTTATTTCCATCTTTCTGAGCCGAGGGTCTATCTGAAACAACGTCTCTGCCCTATCGGGGTAGGGGTAAGGTCTGCGTACACATTACCCTCCCCAGACCCCACTTTGTGGGATTTTACTGCGTAGTAGTTGTAGTTGTAGTTGTATCTTTATCCGTGCAAATGTCACTTCCTTGAAGTAAAATTCTTGAACATGAAAATTACATATTTTTTTAATGCCTGAATCATCAATTTTCTGGCTGCAAACAGCTGAGACGAGCATCATTTGATTGATTGAGCAAGCACATTAGTCGCGCCTAATCCAATCAAGAGCGGAGCTAGATATCAGATAATAAGAGACGTTTTGGGGAAATTTTCTGTGTATTTTGTTCAATCTCTGTACAAACATTGATACAAGCAAAAGGAATAAAATTTTGTTAGCCTAAGTACAGGTGGCCTACTACTATTCCTCTATGTATAACTACCTAATAGAATAATCTGCAGAATGCAAAGAATTTAGTATTTACACATTTTCTCTCACACACTTCACACGTAGGAAGAACATTCTAGACTTGCAAACCTCTGCTTGCCAGGTGTTACATTTCGCTTGATTTGGATGCTTCAGATTTGATCTTCTTTAAATTGAATGAGCGGACAGGATTCATTCTATCATTTAATAATAAAATGGTCCGAAACCTCTTTGGAGACATCAAACTTTGAATTTGTATCTTCTTGTTGGCCATTGTCTTCTTCATTTAGAAGCTTTTCTTCTGTAAATTGTCCAGTTCCAACACCCCCCCTCAAGTTGGAGGGGGACAAAGTAACACCCAACTTGCCGATGATGGAGCGATGAATCAGACTCGATAAAGGCTTAGTGAAAACATCTGCGAGCTGCTGATTCGAAGGAACGAAGGATAGAGAAATCAGACCTGCTTGGAATTGCTGCCGAACGAAATGACAATCCAGCTCCACGTGCTTTGTTCTTTCATGGAAGACTAGATTTTTGGTGATATGAATCGCTGCTTGGCTATCGGAATGGAGAGGGACCATCAAAGATGGAGAAATTGATAGATCTTCTAGTAAGCGGACTAACCAGGTAACCTCTGCAACCACCCTTCTCATTGAGCGATATTTTGCTTCAGCAGATGATAAAGAAACTAAAGGTTATTTCTTTGATTTCCAGGATACTGGAGAACCTCCTAAGCTGATGTAAAACCCACTGATGGAACGGCGAGAATCAGGGCACCGACCCCAGTCGGAATCACAGAAGGCAAGAAGACGAAGAGAAGAGCTGGAGTTCATTAGCAAATCCATACCCTGATCTGAAAGAAGGTAGTGCAGGCAGTGAAAGGCAGCATCCAAATGAAGACTCCGGGGAGATTGCATGAACTGGCTCAAATGTTGGATGGTGAAGGATAAATTAGGTCGCGTGTGGATGAGGAAGTTCAATTTCCCCAATAGACGTCTACGGTAAAAGGTTGGATCTGGAAGCAATTCGCCAGTATCAAGATTGAGTCTTTGAGTGGGATCAAGTGGTGATGAAGCTGGCCTTAGGTCAAAGGCTCCAAACTCATGCAGTAAGTCTAAAGTAAATATCTTTTGAGTTAATATCAATCCATGTTCTTCTCGAATGATTTCCATGCCCAAAAAATAATTGGCTTGTCCGAGATCCTTGATCTTGAATTCGGAATCAAGGAACTCTTTAACAAATGTTGTTCCTTTAAATCATCCCCTGTTAGTAGAATATCATCAACATAGACTGCAATAATGGTAACCTTCCCTGCTAATTTTTTAAAGAATAAAGAGTAATCGTAGAAACCTTTAAAATTTAAAGCCGCAGTTAGTCTGGCATACCATTGCTTTGAGGCTTGCCGCATACCGTAAAGTGACTTCTTCAAGAGACAAACATGACTGGGTGAAGGGGACTGCATCCCTATTGGGAATTTCATGAATACTTCTTCCTGCAAATCCCCATGCAGGAAGGCATTATTCACATCCAATTGAAACACTTCCCATTTCTTCTTCACTGCAATGCCAAGAAGACACCTGATAGTTGTCATTTTGACAACTGGGGAAAAAGTCTCAGTGAAGTCTATCCCTTCCCTTTGAATATCTCCCCTAACAATCAATCTTGCTTTGTATCTTTCCAAAGAACCATCAGACCTATATTTAACTCTATATACCCACTTGCATGGTAGGGCCTTCTTCCCAGGAGGTAAGAGCAGTACTTCCCATGTCTTATTGGCCTCCAAGGCTTCAAGTTCTTTGGCCATGGCATCTTGCCAGCCTGGGTGAAGGCATGCTTGGAATAAGATGTAGGTTCTGAAACATAGGAGGTGGTCTTGAGAAGGGATTGATTCGCTGGAGATAAGGCAGAGAAGGAGAGGACAACAGGTTGTATAGGAGTAGTAAAGCAAGAATCAGTAAGATCTGTGAGGAAGACTGAGTTACAAACAAAATCTGTTAGATATGCTGGAGTTCTGTAAGTTTTGGTTGACCTTCTGAGTTCAGGTTCTGAAGGTAAAACAGGGGACTTGGTGATAGGAGAAGGATTGAAGAAAGGTGAGTGTAGGGTAGGAGAAGCACTAGGCTTAGTCATAGGAGAAGGAGTGAGAGCAGGTGAGTGCAAAATAGGAGAGGAAGGAGAGGAAGAATTAGGTGAGTTTGGTTGAATGATAGGAGAAGTAGTGGTTGGATGGTTGGACTGTGGGCAATCAGGGGTCTGTGATGGTGAATAAGGAAATATAGGTTGAGTCCCTTTGGTATAAGAGAAAGGAAAAATGGTTTCATGGAGCTTCACATCTCTAGAAATGAAAATCTTCATAGTCTGTAAATTCAGGAGTTTGTATCCCTTATTTGCCATAGGGTATCCTATAAACACACAAGCCACAGACCTTGGATCAAGCTTTGTTTTATGTGGGTATAGTGTACATGCATAAGCTAGGCACCCAAAACTTCTGAGTGTGTGATAAGAAGGTGGTACTCCAAACAAGATTTCATGAGGAGATTTCAACTTGAGAACCTTAGAAGGAAATCGATTGATGAGGTAGGTAGCAGCTAGCAGACACTCTCCCCAAAAAGAAACATGAAGTTTAGACTGAAATAAAAGAGCTTTGCATGTTTCCAAAAGATGCTTGTGGTTTCTCTATACTATGCCATTTTGTTGTGGGGTATAGACACAAGTAGTTTGATGTATGATACCTTGAGAAGAAAGAAAAGCTGAAGTATCTGAGCTACTTCCCAGTTCCCATGCACTGTCTGATCTTATGATCTTAATTTTCCTCTCAAATTGTCTTTCCACTAAAGCAAGAAATTGTTTCAAAATGCTAAAGGCATTGGATTTAGTACTGAGAAGGTAAGTCCAAGTTGATCTACTAAAGTCATCAACAATGGTAAGGAAGTATTTGAAACCTTCACGAGTGGGATCTTTGTAGGGTCCCCAAGTGTCTATGTGAATTAGATCAGAAATCCCCTTTGAAGAGATGGTACTAGATTGGAAAGGTAACTTAACCTGCCTTGCCTTAGCACAAATTTCACAATGCTTAAATGAATCAGATGAAGAAGAACAAGAAATAGAGGAAATATTCTTCATATTAGAATAAGGCAAATGCCCTAACCTCAGGTGCCATAGGCTTACATCATTTAGAAAAACAGAACTACATGAAACTGAAACTAAGGACTGAATACTGGTCCTATTCCACTTAGAAGAAACCGGACAATGGCCATTCTTTGAATTGAAAAATTTGATACTAGACTTGAATGTGTGTAGTAGATAAATCCCTTGTTTCTCTTTACCAAGAACCACTGGCCTCTTCATTGAAGGGGCCTGCAAAATTGCACCAAAAGAGTGGAAAGTGAGTAGGCAATTAACATGCTTACAGAGCTTGTGAACTGATAATAAATTATACTTAAAAACTGGAACAAAAAGGACATTAATTAGAATGAGATCAGGGAGTAATTGAACACTCCCAGCTTGAGTGACTCTAACTCTTTGTGAATTAGGTAGATTGACAAAGACTGGCTTGATTAAGGCTCTAACATTGAACAAAAGGTTAAAATCACAAGTCATATGCTCAGAAGCTCCTGAGTCTAAAATCCAAATAATAGACTTAGAGATTTTGGAAAGTGAATGTTTGGGGTATACCAGCACAGTTTGAAGTCACATTGACCTCTGGATTGATCTCTCCTTGTGCTGTAAATTTGGTCTGTTGAAGAAGTTGAACCAAATTGTTGTATTGCTCCTGTGTGAATCCCTTTTCCAGACTGCAAACTGATTGATTTGAGTTGACCTCTTGTATGACTGCTGCATATCCTTGTGCACCACCTTGAAACTTCTTGTTCTTAGTGAATTTAAAGTCTGCAGGAAAACCAATGATCCTGTAGCACTTCTCAACTGAGTGCCCGAGTTTCTTACAGTAGGAGCAAACTAGATTGTTTCTCTTTCCCTCATAGTTTCCCCTCTTATCTGTTTGAGCATACTTCTGACCTCCATACTGTTGCTTTGCAGCCAGAAAAGCAGAATCAAGAGGGTGTTGAGTTACATGAATTTCCCTCTACTTCTCTTCTTGGATTAGCAGTGAATAGGCATGGTTAATGCTTGGAAGAGGTGATGCCATAAAGATGTTGCTCTTCACACCTGAGTAGGCTTCATTCAGTCCCATCAGGAACTGAATAAGCCTTCCATTTTGCTGAGACTTTAGAAATCTACTCTTGCCTCCACAAGAGCAGTCACAACTACAACGAACACAGGTATCAATGTTGTCCAACTCATCTGAGATTTTCTGGAACTTAGTATAGTATCCTGCTACATCTGAAGTTCCTTGAACTAAATCACTGAGCTCCTTTTGCAGCTGGTAAAGCAAAGCTCCATTGCTTTGTCCAAACCTATCTTCCAGCTCTTCCCAGATCTCTTTAGCAGTTTTGGAATAAAGGACACTTTCAGCAATTTCCTTTGAAAAAGAATTGAGCAACCATGATATTACCATATCATCGCAACGATTCCATGCCTTGAAAGAGGGTGAAACAGGGGCTGGTTCACTGATTGTGCCATCTATAAATCCCAGCTCATTTTTGGCTGACAGGGCTATGAGGACCGGGTACAGGTACAGAAGTGGCTACAACGGAGCAGCTTACTCCTGAGATGGATTTACCCCCTACACCAACCTCCATAACTCTTTCCATCAAAGATGGAGTTGACAAGGATCATCCCAAGCGAATCAGAGGGGTCAAGGTAAAATGGATGAGAGCTATCATTTGTGAGTGTGGGTTGAAGAGATTGAATGGAGGATGGAGAAGCAGCCTCCAGAACTGTTTCTGATTCATCAGTGACAGCCATTGAAGGGAACTTGAGAAACTTGAAGAAGAAGTAATAGGATCTAGACCTTAAAGCTCTGATATCATTTCAGAGAATGAGAGACGTTTTGGGAAATTTTTGTGTATTTTGTTCAATCTCTGTACAAACATTTATACAAACAAAAGGAGTAAAATTCTATTAGCCTAAGTACAGGTGGCCTACTACTATTCCTCTATGTATATACCTAAAAGAATAATCTGCAGAATGCAAAGAATTTAGTATTTACACATTTTCTCTCACACACTTCACACGTAGGAAGAACATTCTAGACTTGGAAACCTCTTATTGCCAGGTGTTACATTTGTGCTTGATTTGGATGCTTCAGATTTGATCTTCTTTAAATTAAATGAGCGGACATGATTCATTCTGTCATTTAATAATAAAATGGTCTGAAACCTCTTTCAAGACATCAAACTTTGACTTTGTATCTTCTTGTTGGCCATTGTCTTCTTCATTTAGAAGCTTTTCTTCTGTAAATTGTCCAGTTCCAATCATATTTTAAAAATAAATTATAATGCATATAAACAATTAATTTAGAACCCAATAATTTAAAAAGATTAAAATTTAGAATCTGCAACCTTCAAACTCTGGCTCCAGCTCTAACTACAATACATGTAATAATCATAAAATAAAAAGAGGAAATTAACTTAAACACCTATCCCCCAAAAAATAGCCGACACATGCATATATGATACATAATTAGTGTATAATAAGAGATTTTACTTATCTATACTACTTTTGAAACTTATTTACCCTCAATATTGAAGTTTTAACTTAGAGCCCGTTTGGGTATAAGAATTTTTTCACTTTTTTTCCAAATCAATTTGGCCATAAAATTTTCAATTTTTATTTATAGATAAATTTTGGAATTTTTCGAAAATTTAAACTCCAAAAAACTGTTTTTCAAAATTTTCACTCAGATCACTCACAAAAATTTAGAAACAACCCAAAATTATATTCATGTCCAAGAACAACTCTAATTTTCAAATACCATTTTCACCTGAAGAAAAAAATCACTTTTTTTTGGAATTTCACAATTCTTATGTCCAAACGCCACTTAACTACAAGTTCATATACAATTTACCAATTATATACAAAACAATATATTAGATTCTAATTTGGGTGAGGAAACTCGGGTAAACCCTAACGCTTCATCTACGTTGTACTGGCTTGTTTCTATAAGTAGTGTGGTTAGCATATTTTTTTTTTTGATTTTTCGCCATTTTTGCTTGTTCTCAACCTCTCGACTAACCAAATTGTATCTAATCAACAGTACCCAAGTCGTATTGTTACAATGTCTGAGAATACACCCCACAAGTTGATTACTAGAGGTATACCCACTAAACTTCTCAATTTCGATGGGCCCTCTTTCTCCTTGCAAATCACGCAAGGTGAATTGGACGCAGGTTTAGCCAAAGATATTGATTTGGAGAAGAGAACAAAAGCTCGACATGATAAAGTCGAGAAATCAATGAAGGAGACAACACTTCCCATTCGGGAAAAGAGGAAAAACCATATCTCTGAAGCTTCATCTGTCAAGGGGAAGGAGGTTGAAGAATTGAAAACCTCAGATAAAGTTGAAGAAAAGGTAATTTTCTGATGAAATTCCACTATATTTATTCATGTATTCATTTGTATTTATACGTATTTATATGTATTCTGATGTATTTTTATAGTTGTCTTTTTAAGTTTCTTTCAAGGTTCCCA